TGTATGTATGTATGTATGTGTGTATGTATGTGTATATACACACACACACACACACACACACACACATAAATGCACACACTGTCTACATTAATAGTGATTGAGCATCTGATTTCTGATCTTTAGAGGCACAAAGGAAGAGATAGATTGTAGAAAAGGATGTGAAAGAAGAGGAGGATTATATTCACGATATAACTGTTATGAAATGTATACATTTCTTCGGCTAATGTGAGCTTGCTTAAAATAACATAAACGATAACTGATGTCAAGAACACAATTGTTTTAATAAACATTTGTTACTGTCCATCTTCAGTCTAAGCCACCTGAGTTTTGCACTGTTGTTAAGAATGATTCATGTTGAAAGATAATTTGTTCTCCCTTGTCTGGGATAGTTTACATTCATTAAAAGACTCAGCCAACACTTTATCAATTGCTGATTTGAAAGTAGTTTCTGCTCTCTAATTTCCTTCACATATTAAGTGCTAATGATTTGGGTACTAGTTTATAACACAAGATCTTTTATAAAATATAAGTTCAATATTGCCAATTTTATTTTGCATTAAAAACTCAAGGAAAAAATCCCATTGTAATAAACTGACTTTCCTTTTCTTCAATCAACAAAATTGACACAAACATTAAAAACTGGAAGCTGCTGTGTTGATAAATGTCCTGTAAATATTAATGTATGAAACACAAAGGGAAGTCAAGCTCTTTTTTCTTACAATGAGTCCACCATGAACGCCACTTCCTCGAAGGTTTGGTGCATATTCTGCCAGATCTACTGATCTGAGCCATTCCATCACTCTATGATTGGACCACTGAACTACTTCTGATGGTGAAATGTTATTCTGCGTTGTGGGGAAAAAAAAAGTATGGTAAATACAGTAAACATGCAAAAATGACTAGTCCACCTAGAAGCTGCTAATAAAATAATTCCTTCTAAATAATCAGTAATTCTTCCTTAATCTGTTATGTAGTTTTTACTCAGATTTCTTTTCCCACTTTGTCGAACAATGTAAATATCCATTTGCAATTCAGTCTGCAAGGAAAATGTAGGCCAGAGACCATCTTGTGGGTGGAACTACGTGTAACTATCGACATGCCATGAGTGTTCCTCTGAGCAGAACCAACGGACAAGTAGGGATTAACTAGAGAGTCTGCCCAGGAACAAAAAGGCTGACTTTTCCCATTAATGGATATATGAGCACTAAGTCTAAGAAGCAAAAATCAGTGATTTTTATCTCACCTCATCTGCTGGTCTTCTGCGTAAGCAGTGTGGGTTGAAATTGTTCAAGTGTAGCACCTGAATGGCACATTTAATGCTGAGGTGATGCAGCTGGCTTGTAACTTTGAGGAAGAGGAGGTCATTCTGCAAAGGAAAACTTTGTTTAACGGAAGAAAACTGGAGACCCAATCCACTTAGAATTTTAAGAAACCAAAACAGCACAAGTTTTCTTTTTTTCTATTGGAGCCTGTATGGACCAGCTTTGTGATTCCCATTACAGTTGTCAGAGCCCATGAAGGGAAACACTGCGTCTTGTTCTATAACCATAGGTTCTTCCTTGTATGTGGTTTATAAAGGACTGAGAAGGTCCTCAGTTTAAACAAGGTGGAATGCCGCCTTATGCAACCAATTAGCAGGACATCCCCCTCCATTTTATGTTGTGCTGGGGTTCTGAAGTTGACTATTTCTTCCGATTGCTGTACACTGCAGCTCTGGACAAATGCATGCAAAATCTGCCCATTTCCTGTCCTGTTTACCCCTTTGCATTATGATGCCGAGGGTTAAATTATGTACGTACACACATTATGTATACATAGTATGCTATTTAGATCAAGCTACAATTTAATACAGGAATAATAATTTTTATTGGGATTGAGTTGTGGTGCAGGATGGGATTTACCCCTTTTCCTGACATGATCTTAACAAAAATCATTCTCTTCTTTCAAGCTAGAGCAGCAATTAGTTTTTGTTAAAAAAAAAAAAAAAGGAGTCTCCCATTGTCACATTTACTATGAATGTCTAGAAATGGTCTGAGTTAGCTTCCTGCCCACTCAACGTGTCCGGAAAGTTAAATATTGACAACAGATTGCCAGGATCAGTATCAAAACAATTATTTAGACATTTAAAAGATATTCTTACTTTAGTATAAAAACAATTTGGGAATACAACTTCTAAATATGGTTTTGGAAGAAATGAATGCAGGGATAAAATTATTCTCTTCTATTCCTCGCCACACATTTGAGTGAAAGAAAGGGATTTTTCTAGTCCCAGATTTTGAAAGTAAGGATTTTAGCTAACTTACCACAGTTAGATATTGCAGCATTCTGCCATCAACTCGTGATTCGTGGAACTGATCTTTATACTGAGGTAAACCAATATCATCAAGCCATCCTGTGGAATACACATAAAAATATTTTACTGTGTAATAAAAAACAATTCACTTAAAATTTAGTCTTTTGAGAACAATATATTCCTCATATAACTTCTTATTCTCAGGAGAACAATATTATTTCCATCTCCATTATATGTGTCCATTCTACATGTTTTTTTTTTCAGCAAAAAAGTTTTCTTTTTAAGAAAACTTCCATCTAATTTCATAGGTTATACAAAACTATATAATGCTCAGAAATATGTCAAGGAAATAAAACTGAGAAAATGAAAGTAAAACTCTGTATCTCTGTAATATTTCTAGAGATGAAATTAGTGTTAGTTTTTTTTCTCCTTCATCCCTAAAACTCAAATACATATACATTTCTAAATGATAAAGTGGGCTAGAAAAGTCATCAATCTGTTTTTCATTTTTGCCACTTCAAATACTTACGTGTGACCCAGATATGATCTAACTGCGCAGACTTTTCATCTTGTTTTGTATTTATAGCTTTGACTGCCAAAACCAATTTCTTCCTGTGTAAAGGATGCTTAATTCCTAATTCCTGTAAAGGGAAGCAATAATGATGATTAAAACAATACCTGTTCACACATCTTCCAATAGATCACAAATATTTTGAAATTCTTGAAGAAAAGATGCTATGCTAAATTGGAAATTGGGAATTTCCAAAGAAATATTAATGCATTAATGTTTAAACCTCAGAGATATCTAAATTATTGTCTGCAAATGCAGGAAGTGGAAGTACTAAAAAGAGCTGCTCTGTTGAATAACTGAATAACAAACACTTATCTATTTATATACTCCACTTTTAAGCTCAAAATATGCAGAAAAAAATACATGTGAAAAAGGGTTGTACAAAAGTGTATACAACTGTAGAGAAAAGTGAAAGAAACTGATTTTACTCTTTGAAAATCCTTATAAAAAGTGAACACACTAGGAAAAGTGCATACAAAAATATGCATATATTCTTTCTCTACTGAATAATTTGCACTGTCTTCTAGTTTGTTTTCAGTTTTGATCTATGAAAATTCTGGCAAATCAACCCTGAACAATTCTTTCAATTCCTCCACTTTATGATGGCAACCAACTTTATAAACTCTGCCTTCAAAGATGCATTTAGCATCTGCGTTACAGAATTAAACCTAGTCAACTTATTAACTAGAGTTGAATTAACAATGCCTGCTATTGGATTTACAAGTCCTGTTATTTGGTTTGTATTAATACCTGTTTTAGGAATGCCCATGAATCATCGCTATAGGGTGCCTTTGAAAATCTTTTATTAAATGTAGAGTGAATCTTTAAAATAAAATAAAAGCAGTCAAAACAATCTAAAACACTCCCTTGAGTCAGATATGCAGCATTTAGACATGATTTATTCTGTCCCTCCACTAAACTTCCAGTATAATCTCTAAAAGTGATTAGAAGACAGTTTTTCCTTCTCCAAAGAGCAAGAATCTTATGTAATCGATCTGACAATTGCCATTCATTTTTCCTGCTAAGACCTCTGCTTTAATCTTTCAAGGAGATAATCCAATCTTTGATGGGGGAGATACTGCTGCAGCCAGATCAAGTATCACCAGGGGCTAATGATTTATTTTATACTTTCAAAATTACATATACCACCTGAATGCACCAGCAAAAAGGAAAAAAAAAAAGAATTCTTAATGGAGCTTCTAACATTCTAGAAGTTTTACCTTTTCCATATCCTGTGGCGTTGCTGTCAGAAGTGTATGGCCAGATGTTACCCATTGTCGTGCAAAAATGACATACTGACCAAGGCCAAAGTCCTCAAGCCAGTTGCAAACGCGTTCAGTGCCCCATTGAGCAAATGGGGCATTATGATCACTAAGAACCACAATTAAGGATAAGAGATTTACATTAGCATATCATCATCAACCACCTGCAGTCCATAACTGAGACTAAGGTGAAAGATAAATTGAAAAAATAAATATATATCAGTTTGCCAACTATCAGTCAGTTCAGATTAAGATCAGAATCATTTAATCCCAGGATTATTTTCACATACTGGGAAGGTTATATTCAGAAAAAACTTGAGCACAGAGATATCCCACTTCTTATTTTCAAAGAACTTCCAGTGTATCTTTGCTTCCTTGCAGTTGCTTTTTATTTGCAAGAACAGGGAAATACGCCATGCATCAGTTGCCTCTGAATATTAATAAAACTGAATTATTAGTTTCTTAAACATATATAGATGAACTAGCCATTTAATATGACCAAAATGGAAGCCCAATAGCTTCAGCATGACACATAGGCTGGATAGGTATAGCAGCTATTGCATTTCATACTAGTCCCATTGCAAATGCAAGTGAATTTGTTCTTTGGTCATTTGCTGTGACTCAGCTAGGAACCAACCAAAGTCCATTTTGAAATAGTTAATGGGAAGTAGCCTGAGCAAAGAAGCAAAATGTATTCCTGTTCTGGAAACTGCTACCAAATGTAACTGAGAAAAAAAAAAAAGATTCCCACCCAACAGTGGACCTTTGTAAATAACAGTTACAACTGATGAAGGTTCCCAAACAGTTGACTGTATCCTGTGCAATTGCAAATATACATTTACCAGTTTGGTCCTAAGAGGAGAAATCATGGTTTGAAAATCTCTACATAATGGTAAAACAATGCTTTTTACTACATAGTGAATTTAGTCAAGAGACTAAATACTCAAGCAAATATTTAGCCACAGAAACAGTAAATAGCCATCCTCTACCTCTTTTGTCCCTTGGTGTCCTTTGACCGAGACAATCGAGGTCCAGCTGTTGCACGGAGGCCACCTCTTCGAAATTCAACCAAGCCCAGATCATCTCCAGGGAAATTTCCAGATTGAGTCCGACGTATTCTTTTAGGAGATATTAAAAATGATAAGTCATCAGATATTCAAATGCAGGAAGCAACTTTTACATACAAATGCCGGAATTTTTAATATCAGGAACCCTGTAATTTCTAATGTTTCTTCAGGTGGATTAATTAATTAATTTATTATATTGCTTGTGCTTTCTGGATTTTCCTTTTACATTTTTATTATGTGATTTTATTGATTACTACTGTTACTGTAGATGATGTATGCTACCTTGAGTCATATGCTTAGGGCAGTTGTATAAACTGATTAAAAAATTAAGAATACCGAAATAAATAAATGAGACAGAGAAAGTAGAAAAAATAAAGCACACTTACTTTCCCCATATTTTCTTTATTCCTTTTGGACTTCTTTTATTGTCTGGAGATAATGGAGACTGTGCACCTGAATCGGTTCCAGATGACAAGGGCGAAAGTTCCTCTGAAGTTGTGTTGTTCATACTATCAGGAGCCCCTGTGAAGTACAAAGGTTGTCTATGAAACTTGGTTCCCCCAGAGTATAAATCACTCAAAGCTGTTCAAATATATTGGCTGACATTGCAGAAATAAAAGTCTGTGCATCCTCTCAAGTGTATAAACTGGTTTTCAATGGGCAGAAAAAAGTAATTGTACATAACTTATAACCTTGGAAGAGCTAGCTGAAGACTTCACTGATCATATAAAATGAGCAGGTGTCCCACGATGGATATTGGTAATTATAACCTGATTTATAACATGGATGCAGAACACATTTTTCAAATGGACAGAATTTTTAATGGCATGGAATAGCCGAAATATTTTTTCCATAAATTATGTTTTGCATGGTTTAATGGCAAAAATAAGATGCATTTTAAATGTCTTCTCCCTAATATATGTGTCTTCTTTTGAAGAATTAAAATACAGATTTCAAGTATGTCCAGCATCCATTAGAAACCACAGAACCATTAGCGTTGGTTCTCTAAACCTAATCTTGTATTATTAGGATCTTATGTGGCTTTCACTTGCCCGGATCAGAAATCACAATTCAAAAGTCAACTCTCTAATTTGTATTTTCAATAAAGATATTTATTGCTAGCATAAAGGCTGCACATTGGTTAGGTATACGATACCTAATATTGGTGCACTGATACTCCTGATGCGATCTTCACTCATCCCAAGAAGCAGAAAGCCATATGAAGAAGCAAAGATGATGCAAAATTCAAGCAAAATAAAGTTAAAGGAAAGCAAAGAAAGCCAGCAGCTGAAGGAAGAAAAATAAAAACATGGACAGGAGGCAAAATAGCAGAGCAGATGAACTGGAATGCTCAGGAGCAGAGTGTGCTGTATACAGATGAAAATCTTTTACTGTGAGAAATACATGATTAAAAAAAAAATCATTCTCATATTGAGTACTAAGCTAGTCCAAAGAATAACACAAAGCGTGTTCTTTTTCTAACTTAAATGCAAACAAATCACAGTAAAATGTGCCTGTCTTTTTCCCCTCTTAAAACAAATCTTGTTGATCCTCTAGGCTCAGTTTTATTTACAAGGAGAGGTCTTACAAGAGAGATCTTTCTTTTTCCAAGGAGAGTCTATGCATTTTAAAAGGACTGTTTACTATTTCAACAGGCCTGGGATTTTGAGTGTCTCCACACCGTAAATAAACAGCAAAGACAGGTCACCTCTTATATATGTGGCTGAGTTCTTAGGAATTCAACCATTAAGCCATGCAGCTTGTTCACATACGCCAGTTAAATTTGTGGGTCGCTTCAGCTGATACGATGGCATTTCTAATCAACAGTACACAAAGGCGCAATAGCTTTACAGTGACACGTAGGCAGCATATCATGTAATGATAAATTAAGATTAATGGAGCTAAAGTAAAAAAAGTAGGTAATGAAAGTGTCCTTTCACAGGGCCTTTGCTGGCATGGATACCACTGCCTTGCTCTGATAGTGGTCTGTTATAATCATGAACAGAGGTAGTCTTGCAGGGGTGTCGGGAAGGTTTTTAATGTGCGTCATGTATCACACTGCTGTGGCCACCATCATGACCTTTCTGACCACACCCGCAGACATCTGTGCAGTCATGCATTCTGACATTCAACATCTCCTACAGTTGTTCATTTCCAGCCTTTGCAGTGGTGGTAACAATTCAGTTCCCACAGAATTCTTCCCAGACCAATGAACACTTGACACTCCCAGGACTAATTTATATTTTAGGGCCACCATGAACTGACCAAGCAGCTAACAGTTCTGGATTCAGAGAATTAGGAAATCCAACTTTCTACACTGTAGAGAATTTCCACTTGACGGAAATTAAGATTCATTACTCTTGGCGACATCGTGCTATTCTGACAATCTAGTCCAAATCCTGAAGTGCAGCATCTTTTTCATACTTTTAAACCACACACACAAACACACGTAGACAGCGGGTTCACTGTTCTTTCCACAGTACATACTCAGGCTCTGTATGCTGTTGTCCTCGCTGCCATTTATACAACATGGAGTAGCAGGTGTGTTGTACAGACGGTTATCACCATTGTGGGCTGGTCGAGGAAGTTTCCCTGGCAAGGTTTGGTACTTGCTGCTTTTCACGTGAGATTTATTCTATGTATGTTACATTTTTTTTTAATCAAAAAGAGAAAAACAATGAAGTCAATATTATTTCTAAAATTCACTACATTCATTTCAGTCAGAAGCTATCAGCATTTGTCTTCTGAGAAATAAAAATACTTGGCCAACATAGAACTTCTCATCGTGGTCATTCATTCTCCATTATTGTGGAGAGGTATGACTTTCTGGAAGGAAGAATATATGAGGGAGCAGGATTTGACAGCTAAAAGTCAGAATAATGAAGATAGTGGTAGAGAACTTTGTCACATGTAAATGTTTCCATGCTACAAAACCATATCTATAGTAATCATTCTATCATAATTTATCCTTGTATACTACTTGTTGAATCACTACTTGTATTATTTAAGGAAATAAATGCCACCATCCGTGTGACATCTGGAACGGATGCACCACAGATGTCCCTAATTTATCTGTTACTTGAGATTTTCTCCAATATGCTTGACTACCTGCATTATATGCTGAAATGTCAGGCCTAGCCCAAGGAACTCCAAGAGACCATGTAAATTCAGTCCAGCAATGTT